ATCCAAGTTAGCCGTTACGCTTTCTCCAATAGTAAGTAATACAGACCCTCTCATCTCCCAATAGGTAGATAATCTCTGACAAAGGCATCCCGCTATTGCCGTCGCTTAAAAAAGCCTGTCAATTAGACAAAAGTTGTTCTTTCTTTTTTTACATTTCTGTCCCCCTCATTTCTGAAATTATGGCTATGCCCCTATGTGTGCAGTACAGAAAACAGAGCATGAGTCTTCTTGTGCTTGAATGGTTTAAAGTCATATTAAAATGCGAACAAAGGAATTGATAAGAGGAATCAAAATTTTAATTTTATAACAAGTAGACGATTCCTGACCTTAAGCATCCTATTCCAGAATTGGAATAGATTTTGGATTCCCAAGATATGGGTTAACGTTAAATATAATGCTATTTTTTGTCCTACCGAAAATGTGCCTGGAGTCCACCTTTGTTATTAATACAAACTACACTTTCAATGTGATTTTAATCCATTCAAGTCAAGAAGACTCACAGGCTGTTTTCTCTGCTGCACACACATCCTTGTGTAAGAGTTCTTTAGCCTGTTGACTTTCATTCATAGTATTCAGCGAACTATGAAATATTTGTTAATAAGATGATATCTAAGGTTTTTTTATTTATTTATTCATTACCTTATTGGAATCGAAATTAGGAATTGACAAGAATTGGAATTATTAAAATTCAAACGATGCCCAACCTTACCCATAACCCACATTATTTTTTACTGGCACCTTTCTTTTCACACTGTTTTAAACCCTTTCTTTTTCTTTAAACCCTCACTTACCCTTCTTTGCTTTTGCCCTTCTTAAAAACAACCACATAATCTTATACATGAATGTACTTTTCAAAATTGGTTATAAAACAGTTGCTCCTGGCAACAGGGATAGGTAGTATGTTTGCTTAACATAGCGTCAAACATGACAATTTATGAGACTAATATCATGTTTTACTCCAAAATCACTATATAACATCATTCGTGTTTGAAATAGTTAGCTTCTGTGGTTCCATGTTGCTTCTTATCATGAGACAGAAAATATTTTGTTATAAAATTCTATACTGTGATACAAGCTATGTCAGTTATTGCATTGCAATTGTGTTTTTATTGTCTTCCACGTTTCATCAGTCAATGCGTCTCTATCTGCATGTTATTCAGCTGTAGTGATATCTGATGCATTTGTCCATATAAGGGATTTCCTGGGTCTCACTTGTGAAACAGACATTACAGTACACAGTAGGCTTGCTGCGATAGACTGTGTTTTCGGTTAAGCCGCAACACCGGTTACGTCATTTGCCTACCCTGCCCCCCACCGTCGTTTTGATTTATTTATAGTAACAAAAATCATTTAGCCTAGTTCAGTTAGAGGACAGACACTTTTAAAAACTAAACACTCAATGCAGTGTGCCGAACCGTGCACCACGGAGCAGGAGTCCGATTTTATTTATCACGTGAGGAGAATGAGTCGAGCTGACTGACAAGAGTGAGGTGAGAAAGACAAGACGATGGCAGAAGATTGTTTAGAAAGGAAATGCAAAAGCGCCTGTTTTATATTTTGAAAAGCCTATTGACTGGAAGTTTATTTAAACATTCGTTTCTTATTTATTTGGTTTCACAGTGTTTGCTGATTACTTTATTTAAACTTTGTGTATTTTATTTATTTTATTTTACATCAAGGTGTATATGCTGTGCCTCCAAGCTTTCTTATTCGTTTTGCTAATAAACGTTCTACGTTTCTTATTTATATGGTTCCACAGTGTTTGCTGATTTTCAGTTTTACATACTTATTTAAACTTTGTGTAGCCTAAGTAATTTGTTATTTTATTACGCATATATGGTGTATTTTTATTTGTTTTGTTAATAAAAGTTCTATGAGTTTGACGTTGTTGTTGCTTGAATTGAATCAACCGAATCGCCGCTAATTTGAAAGTAAAATATGCACGGCGCTTTTTCAAGCTATTTGAAAGCCAAGAAATCAGAGGAAAAGAGGGAAAACTCAAACAAACAATTGCTTGACGTCGAATTGCGGCAATTCAATTGCGCTAATTTGAAAGTGAAAGTGAAATGCGCACAGCACTTTTACAAGCCATTTGAAAGCGAAGAAAAGAGGGAAACTCAAACGAACTAACACCCCCACCCCAACGGTGATACCGGTGTTGTCACACGTCGATTAACCGGTGGGAAAATGTCCTCACCGTCACAACCCTAGTACATTGGTGTTAGGATTAGGGTTAACCCTGCCCCATAATGCTCACATCGTCTCATTGTGGGGGAAAATAGAAAAATAATACTAAAGTACTTTGTAACACAGTAACTTTAGTTTTTCACCAAACTACTTTTTTACTCTTACTTGAGTCATATTATTTTAAGTAATTTATTCCTTAAGTAGCAATACCTTTACTCAAGTACAATTTTTTTAGTACTCTTTCCACCACTGATTTTAGGTGAACTATCCCTTTAAGAAATAGTTAACAAAAAAAGAAAAAAAAAAAGTAAAGTAAAATAAAAAATGGTCAAGAAATACTTCGTACTCCAATAAGTTCCATTGAAACAAATGTGACTCTCACAGATGGTTTGAAGGCCATGTCACATAGATACGATCATTACTTACATCACTCCTAGTGTCTGGTGACGGGTCCTGAGGATTGAGACATGCATGGGTCACCTTAATCACATGCTCTAGCTTGCGGGGCTGTTCTTCCACTTTTGCGGCTAAAAAGAGAGCTGCAGGAGCAATCACCTGTGCAGCACATGACAGAAGCAGAGAGGTTAGAGTCCCATCCAATGCAGCCAGCTGTTTTTAATGGAGGCTTTTATAAAAAGCTTGTGGAAGAATAAAGCACATACATTCCGGTGGAAGCGAGTGAAGGACTGGATCATGTAGAACCGATGCATATACACAATGGCAGTGTTAATTGTAAGTTGAGACCTAATAGTTCAAAGTTAAGGATTGTAACACACCAAAAGCATTTAAGAAAAACAGCACAACTGCTCAACTCAACAACCTCAGTATTTCAAAAGGATCATAACTAGTATTGATATTTAGGAGAGCATGTCCAGCCAAAATTTCTTGAGCAATATGCTGGGCTTGTCAATCACAGATTCATATTTTCATTAAATTCTTGCATTGTAATTCATTAGAGTTACTATCATTTAATTTTAGACACATTGGCACCATTATTCAAATTTAAAAGTGAAAGCACATGTTCCTACCAAAGGAAAAACAATTCAACTACTTTCCTTTAATCTATGGAACATCATTAACCTAAAATAAAACCGATAACTTCCTATTACTAACGTTATATATTCTATCGCGGTATTAGAACTTCTCTCAAGCAGGGCCAAGTCAAGATAGGTTTAAATAATAATAACGGATATATGTTTGGAATGGCATAAATATCACAAATCTAACACTAAAGTGTAAACAAATGGTATAATGAAGAAAATTGTGGAAATGGAGAGTGGGAATGGCAGTGACACCGGCTGCGCTATTGTTCAGTAGGAAAGACACCTCCAGCTAGGCCCTACGGCCTTAACTAAACCAAAAAAAAACACAAAACGGGGACATAGATCTTTTATTCCGTTCGCCTTAATCCACAAGTTTCACGATACAACAGGCGTGTTTACTGGTAGAGCTGTTTCAGGTAATTATAATGCTGAAACACAACACCACACAAGCCGCCCGAACCGGCGTCAGTCTCCTCTGAGCAGCTGCCGAGAACGACGCCTCACAAACTGAAAAAGATACACGTTGAGCCGCTGTCCCATGTCCTGCAGCAGGTTAGCAGCTTGCTGTCGGTACGAGAGCTCTTTGTCGGGATCAAGTCCCGCTCGGCGAGATGGGCTGTTTTCGATTTGTTCGCGCGTGAAGTACCATTTATTGTTATTTAGCGAAAGCGAAGGGAACGAAGCCGCCATTACTGAGAAGGACAATGTTTTAAAAACTCACTGCGTCACAGGAAGCGCGTCATCGCCGGCTGGAATGCGACTGCGGTATCGTTTGACCTTAAAGGGATAGTTCACCCAAAAATGAAAATGTGATGTTTATCTGCTTACCCCCAGGGCATCCAAGATGTAGGTGACTTTGTTTCTTCAGTAGAACACATATGATGATTTTTAACTTTAACCGTCGCAGTCTATCAGTTGTATAATGCATGGCAATGGTAACAAAATCTATGAGAGTAAAAAAAACATGCACAGACAAATCCAAATCCAAGTTAGCCGTTACGCTTTCTCCAATAGTAAGTAATACAGACCCTCTCATCTCCCAATAGGTAGATAATCTCTGACAAAGGCATCCCGCTATTGCCGTCGCTTAAAAAAGCCTGTCAATTAGACAAAAGTTGTTCTTTCTTTTTTTACATTTCTGTCCCCCTCATTTCTGAAATTATGGCTATGCCCCTATGTGTGCAGTACAGAAAACAGAGCATGAGTCTTCTTGTGCTTGAATGGTTTAAAGTCATATTAAAATGCGAACAAAGGAATTGATAAGAGGAATCAAAATTTTAATTTTATAACAAGTAGACGATTCCTGACCTTAAGCATCCTATTCCAGAATTGGAATAGATTTTGGATTCCCAAGATATGGGTTAACGTTAAATATAATGCTATTTTTTGTCCTACCGAAAATGTGCCTGGAGTCCACCTTTGTTATTAATACAAACTACACTTTCAATGTGATTTTAATCCATTCAAGTCAAGAAGACTCACAGGCTGTTTTCTCTGCTGCACACACATCCTTGTGTAAGAGTTCTTTAGCCTGTTGACTTTCATTCATAGTATTCAGCGAACTATGAAATATTTGTTAATAAGATGATATCTAAGGTTTTTTTATTTATTTATTCATTACCTTATTGGAATCGAAATTAGGAATTGACAAGAATTGGAATTATTAAAATTCAAACGATGCCCAACCTTACCCATAACCCACATTATTTTTTACTGGCACCTTTCTTTTCACACTGTTTTAAACCCTTTCTTTTTCTTTAAACCCTCACTTACCCTTCTTTGCTTTTGCCCTTCTTAAAAACAACCACATAATCTTATACATGAATGTACTTTTCAAAATTGGTTATAAAACAGTTGCTCCTGGCAACAGGGATAGGTAGTATGTTTGCTTAACATAGCGTCAAACATGACAATTTATGAGACTAATATCATGTTTTACTCCAAAATCACTATATAACATCATTCGTGTTTGAAATAGTTAGCTTCTGTGGTTCCATGTTGCTTCTTATCATGAGACAGAAAATATTTTGTTATAAAATTCTATACTGTGATACAAGCTATGTCAGTTATTGCATTGCAATTGTGTTTTTATTGTCTTCCACGTTTCATCAGTCAATGCGTCTCTATCTGCATGTTATTCAGCTGTAGTGATATCTGATGCATTTGTCCATATAAGGGATTTCCTGGGTCTCACTTGTGAAACAGACATTACAGTACACAGTAGGCTTGCTGCGATAGACTGTGTTTTCGGTTAAGCCGCAACACCGGTTATGTCATTTGCCTACCCTGCCCCCCACCGTCGTTTTGATTTATTTATAGTAACAAAAATCATTTAGCCTAGTTCAGTTAGAGGACAGACACTTTTAAAAACTAAACACTCAATGCAGTGTGCCGAACCGTGCACCACGGAGCAGGAGTCCGATTTTATTTATCACGTGAGGAGAATGAGTCGAGCTGACTGACAAGAGTGAGGTGAAAAAGACAAGACGATGGCAGAAGATTGTTTAGAAAGGAAATGCAAAAGCGCCTGTTTTATATTTTGAAAAGCCTATTGACTGGAAGTTTATTTAAACATTCGTTTCTTATTTATTTGGTTTCACAGTGTTTGCTGATTACTTTATTTAAACTTTGTGTATTTTATTTATTTTATTTTACATCAAGGTGTATATGCTGTGCCTCCAAGCTTTCTTATTCGTTTTGCTAATAAACGTTCTACGTTTCTTATTTATATGGTTCCACAGTGTTTGCTGATTTTCAGTTTTACATACTTATTTAAACTTTGTGTAGCCTAAGTAATTTGTTATTTTATTACGCATATATGGTGTATTTTTATTTGTTTTGTTAATAGAAATGCAAAAGCGCCTGTTTTATATTTTGAAAAGCCTATTGACTGGAAGTTTATTTAAACATTCGTTTCTTATTTATTTGGTTTCACAGTGTTTGCTGATTACTTTATTTAAACTTTGTGTATTTTATTTATTTTATTTTACATCAAGGTGTATATGCTGTGCCTCCAAGCTTTCTTATTCGTTTTGCTAATAAACGTTCTACGTTTCTTATTTATATGGTTCCACAGTGTTTGCTGATTTTCAGTTTTACATACTTATTTAAACTTTGTGTAGCCTAAGTAATTTGTTATTTTATTGCGCATATATGGTGTATTTTTATTTGTTTTGTTAATAAAAGTTCTATGAGTTTGACGTTGTTGTTGCTTGAATTGAATCAACCGAATCGCCGCTAATTTGAAAGTAAAATATGCACGGCGCTTTTTCAAGCTATTTGAAAGCCAAGAAATCAGAGGAAAAGAGGGAAAACTCAAACAAACAATTGCTTGACGTCGAATTGCGGCAATTCAATTGCGCTAATTTGAAAGTGAAAGTGAAATGCGCACAGCACTTTTACAAGCCATTTGAAAGCGAAGAAAAGAGGGAAACTCAAACGAACTAACACCCCCACCCCAACGGTGATACCGGTGTTGTCACACGTCGATTAACCGGTGGGAAAATGTCCTCACCGTCACAACCCTAGTACATTGGTGTTAGGATTAGGGTTAACCCTGCCCCATAATGCTCACATCGTCTCATTGTGGGGGAAAATAGAAAAATAATACTAAAGTACTTTGTAACACAGTAACTTTAGTTTTTCACCAAACTACTTTTTTACTCTTACTTGAGTCATATTATTTTAAGTAATTTATTCCTTAAGTAGCAATACCTTTACTCAAGTACAATTTTTTTAGTACTCTTTCCACCACTGATTTTAGGTGAACTATCCCTTTAAGAAATAGTTAACAAAAAAAGAAAAAAAAAAAGTAAAGTAAAATAAAAAATGGTCAAGAAATACTTCGTACTCCAATAAGTTCCATTGAAACAAATGTGACTCTCACAGATGGTTTGAAGGCCATGTCACATAGATACGATCATTACTTACATCACTCCTAGTGTCTGGTGACGGGTCCTGAGGATTGAGACATGCATGGGTCACCTTAATCACATGCTCTAGCTTGCGGGGCTGTTCTTCCACTTTTGCGGCTAAAAAGAGAGCTGCAGGAGCAATCACCTGTGCAGCACATGACAGAAGCAGAGAGGTTAGAGTCCCATCCAATGCAGCCAGCTGTTTTTAATGGAGGCTTTTATAAAAAGCTTGTGGAAGAATAAAGCACATACATTCCGGTGGAAGCGAGTGAAGGACTGGATCATGTAGAACCGATGCATATACACAATGGCAGTGTTAATTGTAAGTTGAGACCTAATAGTTCAAAGTTAAGGATTGTAACACACCAAAAGCATTTAAGAAAAACAGCACAACTGCTCAACTCAACAACCTCAGTATTTCAAAAGGATCATAACTAGTATTGATATTTAGGAGAGCATGTCCAGCCAAAATTTCTTGAGCAATATGCTGGGCTTGTCAATCACAGATTCATATTTTCATTAAATTCTTGCATTGTAATTCATTAGAGTTACTATCATTTAATTTTAGACACATTGGCACCATTATTCAAATTTAAAAGTGAAAGCACATGTTCCTACCAAAGGAAAAACAATTCAACTACTTTCCTTTAATCTATGGAACATCATTAACCTAAAATAAAACCGATAACTTCCTATTACTAACGTTATATATTCTATCGCGGTATTAGAACTTCTCTCAAGCAGGGCCAAGTCAAGATAGGTTTAAATAATAATAACGGATATATGTTTGGAATGGCATAAATATCACAAATCTAACACTAAAGTGTAAACAAATGGTATAATGAAGAAAATTGTGGAAATGGAGAGTGGGAATGGCAGTGACACCGGCTGCGCTATTGTTCAGTAGGAAAGACACCTCCAGCTAGGCCCTACGGCCTTAACTAAACCAAAAAAAAACACAAAACGGGGACATAGATCTTTTATTCCGTTCGCCTTAATCCACAAGTTTCACGATACAACAGGCGTGTTTACTGGTAGAGCTGTTTCAGGTAATTATAATGCTGAAACACAACACCACACAAGCCGCCCGAACCGGCGTCAGTCTCCTCTGAGCAGCTGCCGAGAACGACGCCTCACAAACTGAAAAAGATACACGTTGAGCCGCTGTCCCATGTCCTGCAGCAGGTTAGCAGCTTGCTGTCGGTACGAGAGCTCTTTGTCGGGATCAAGTCCCGCTCGGCGAGATGGGCTGTTTTCGATTTGTTCGCGCGTGAAGTACCATTTATTGTTATTTAGCGAAAGCGAAGGGAACGAAGCCGCCATTACTGAGAAGGACAATGTTTTAAAAACTCACTGCGTCACAGGAAGCGCGTCATCGCCGGCTGGAATGCGACTGCGGTATCGCCCCCAGTGGCTAGAAATGGCGATAGGTGTAAACCGAGCCCTGGGTATCCTGCTTCGCCTTTGAGAAAATGAAAGCTCAGATGGCCCAATCTGGAATCTTCCCTTTATGTCGTCATACGGGGAAAGGTTACCTCCCCTTTCTCTGCTTTGCCCGCCCAGAAAATTTGGCTCGCCCATGAGAAAGCTACTACCGTGCGAGGCGAGCGCAATATATTTTTTTTCCTCGAGAGACATCATGGCTTGCTAACGAGCAAAGCAATGCAGTTGCCCCGCCTCTCTCCTCCTCATTAGCATTTAAAGCTATAGACACAGAAATGGCACGTCCTAAGGAAAGCTCATTGTGGGACTGGCTCGTAGTGGCTGAAATTCTGCACCAAGGCTGAATTTCGCGAAAGAGACTTCAGATACAGTACTAGGGACCACTTAGGCTTATATAAAAGCATCTAAAAAGCAGCATGTCATGGGACCTTTAACGTAAACTTCGCCAGAGCGCGTACACACCTCACGCACCGGATGCCGTGCGCGCGCCCAAAGACAGTTGGACATAGTGGTGTATTAGAGGTAATAAATAGTGAGTATAGTGATATGTGGCCAAGTATGGTTGCCCATACTAGGAATAAGTGCTGTGCGTTTAACCCATCCAAAGTGCACACACACAGCAGTGAGAACACACTCGGAGGAGCCCGGGGAGCAGTTGGGGGTTCGGTGCCTTGCTCAAGGGCACCTCAGTTGTGGTATTGAAGGTGGGAGAGAGCGCTGTACATTCATTCCCCCCACCTACAATCCCTGCCGGTACGAGACTCAAACCCGCAACCTTTGGGTTTTAAGTCCGACTCACTAACCATAACCACTAAACTTCCCATTACTGAGAAGATTATATAAATACTGTTCGGTTTCTGGCACAAACCGATCGTTTCGTGTCTTAGGACATCAATGTGTCGTCACGAGCCGCAGGGTTTAATTTGGATTTGTCTGTGCATGTTTTTTTTACTCTCATAGATTTTGTTACTATTGCCATGCATTATACGACTGATAGACTGCAACGGTTAAAGTTAAAAATCATCATATGTGTTCTACTGAAGAAACAAAGTCACCTACATCTTGGATGCCCTGGGGGTAAGCAGATAAACATCAAATTTTTGGGTGAACTATCCCTTTAACCCGTTCAGAACTGAATTGTGTTACACGGACACAAAATTATCTTTATTTCGACTCCAAATGCATCCATAAATTACAATTAATCATTTTTGTTGTCAAATAATTGTTTTTAAATGCCCATTACAACACTAGAGATACCAAGATATAAGGATATGATATTTCAAGAAATGTAAATTATACATAAATACATAAATTATACATGAATGCAAAATAATTTTAGATTCAGGTTGGTTTTAACAAATTAAGTGCTTTTCTTTAAAAAAACAACAACAAAAAAACAGATAATTAACAAACAATCGAGCACACAACTTTGAAACGAATTAAATATTAAAAAATAGAATATCAAACACAAAAAAAGTCATTCACAAAAATAATTGTTCATCTTTTTTTATTAACCAAAAATATTATAAGACGCCATTCAATTTACAATCAACTTATTCAACATTATAAAAGGAGCATGGACACCAAAGTCCCTTTAAGACTAGTCTTTTCTAGTTTTAGCTGGTTTTAAGCTTTTAAAAACCAGTCAATTATAAAATAATAAATAAATAAATCATAAAAATATCAGCACAGTCTCAAAAGAATGAATTATAACTTTCCAAACACACACACGCACACGCACACACACACCATTCATATTATTGAGTACAAAATTATTACGAATAGAAATATTATAATACATTACATTTACAATAAACTATATTTTTTCAACAAAATCCAACAATATCCCAGCATAATTCTGATAGGGCGTTTGGATATTGTATCAGATATATTGAAATATATGCAAATATATCAGCTGTATTTAAATTTTCTTTGACATTTAATTGTACCATTTGCTGTAACTGTTTATGTGTAATAATTATACATTCTTGCCGTTTAAAGTTTGTAAGTAGGTTGAGTATCGCCATGTCGTACGGTCCAGCCTTGTTATAAATACAGGTTTCCATGTGACTTTTATTTTGAATTTTCCATTGCGACACATCTTCTTTCATTTATTTGTCGCAATTTTGTTCCTTTTAACCCGATGCGGGAATTTAAAACATTCTGTTTTTATTTCAAACCCACTCTTAAAATGTAGTATAAGTAATAATAATGAATATGAAACAACAATAACCTGCACTTCAGCATCAACTAATGTCGCCATCCATTGGTGAACTTAGAGAGAAAGACCGTGACGAATGCGGAAGTGTTTATGTTGCGTGTGTGTGGGTTTAGCTGCTAATACAGTACAGTGGCGTGCAGTCTAATAAAATGACCGAGTCCAAAGCTAAGAATATCAGCGCCATTCCAATCGATGGATTCAGCAATGTTCGCATCACATCATTATGGAGCTTTCTACAGTCTGTAAGTTTACAGCAACATTACATTCTCTTTTTATGGTTCACATAAAGCCAATCCAGAGTTTCTTGGGTATTTTTCAGTACAACCGAGGCCACGTGGATTAAGTGAAGAAAACGTGTTTTTTTGTACATAGGAAGAACTAGTAATAATCTTGTGATCTGGTCTCCAGGTTGACTGGTCTGAACCCTGGCTGATGGGTCTGCTGGCCTTTCACGTCTTGTGTTTTGCTTTCACCATTCTGTCCTGCAAATGCTACCGTCTACAGATCTGTCATTTTCTCTTGATGGGTGAGTTTGTGCATTAAAAAAATGCTATCAGGGTAAATGTATAAAATTATAATGGAAAGCATTCATTTTCTGAGAAGATTACATTACAACAAACACAATGTGTTTTCTGAATTGTGAAGGCATTCTAAATATCACTTATATTTAATTATAGTAAACGTGTTAATTATAGATTTACCAGATGACATAGTATTTCATCTTTTGCAGTTGCAATGGTTTACAGCGCAGAATACCTGAACGAGCTGGCAGCAATGAATTGGAGGTGATTGTATCCCCACCGTAACCCCGTTATGATTTTGTTTATTTTGTTGTTATGCTTAATGTGACTGCATTTTGTTTTTAGGTCTTTTTCAAAGTTCCAATACTTTGATTCAAAAGGAATGTTCATATCACTAGTATACTCAGTCCCGCTCATGCTCAACACTGTTATTATTGTGGTAAGATTTTCGTTTTTAGAATAGTCTTCTTTATATATATATATATAATGCTAAAATATGCATTTCATCTGATTCATTTTACAGAGTATGTTAAGATTTCGCCTTTGATTTAAACTCAGTCTTTGTGTTTTAGGCTGTGTGGGTGCGGAGGACCTTCTCAACCATGACAGAATTGAAGATACTGCAGTTAAAAAGAAAAGCAGCCAGAGAGAACAAGAAAATGCAATAGAAGACGTGAACCGGATGTGCTCTATTTCATAATGTGCAGTGGTGGAGGGCAGATCTAGTAAAAGAAAAGACTGTTTAGCATGGGGTGATCATTAGAAAATGTGGTGTGAAGGTTCTTAAGTGTTATTTCAGATTGCTGATGGACGATTACTCCACCTGCTAGCAGATACTCCATGGAACATGTGATTTTATCAAATCACAATTTTATCGAATCTGTTGGAAAAAGCCATCAACTGTATTATGCAACTGCTTTGTGTACATATTGACCACTCCAGAGCTCAATATTGCTTATTTGTCTGTTGTTAACATTGAATGGATAAAACCCTGTTTTTGAGTGTTGAACATGTAAATTGTGTATTTATGCCAAAAAATTGAATGTTGTTTTTTTTTAATAGATATTGTGAATTTATTTCAATGTTACATCAAAGACTGAGATGCAAAACTCCATAAGTCTAAGACCACATTGAAAATTCATTTATTTAAACCTTCAAATAATTTTTTTTTAAAAATTGATTAATTATATGTAATATGAAGATTAAAGGAATACTTAACCCCAAAATTTATCTTTGCTAAAAATCTACTCGCCCTCAGACTTTCCAAGATGTAGATGATTTTGTTTCTTCATCGGAACAGATATGAAGAAATTTAGCATTATATCACTTGCTCAGCAATGGATCCTCTGAAGTGAATGGGTGCCGCCAGAATGAGAGTCTAAACAGCTGATAAAAACATCACTATAATCCACAAGTAATCCAAATGACTCCAGTCCATCAATTAACATCTTGTGCTAAGTTGCATGTTTGTAAGAAACAAGTTCATCATTAATGCGTTTTAACTTCAAACCATTGCTTTCAGCTAAAATACAAGTCCATAATTCATAATAATGCTTTCTCCAGTCAAAAAGTCCATCTTCTGTTGTCCTCTCACATCAAAGCCCACCGACATATTGTTTTGATTTATGAAGAGTGCTTGATCTGTGCACATTTCTCTCCTGATTCAGAATAGACAAATGCGTTTTTGTTTTTTTTTACTGGAGGTAACATTATGGATAGAGGACTCATTTTAACCAGAAGCAACAGTTTGAAGTTAAAAACGTCTTAATGATCGATTTGTTTCTTACAAACACGCAGCTTTTCTCTTTACAAGATGTTAATTGCTGGACTGGAGTTGAGTGTGTTACTTGTGGATTATTGTGATGTTTTTATCAGCTGTTTGGACTCTCATTCTGACGGCACCCATTCACTGCAGAGGATTCATTGGTGAGCAAGTGATCGAATGCTACTTTTCTCCAAATCTGTTCCAATGAAGAAACAAACTCATCTACATCTTGCAAAGCCTGAGGATGAGTAGATTTTCAACAAAATTTCATGTCAACTATTCCTTTAATATTTTAATGTTAATATTTATACATTAAAATAGTTAACTTTCACACAAATTATTATGCAGGTAATATAATTTGCAATGAAAAAAAAAGGTATTAGATTAGTAAAAAGGAAAAGAAGATTTTTTAAAAC